CATCTTGCTGTTGTTTCTGAATGCGGTTAAGCTCACTTTTGCGACTGCTTTCTGGATGCTCCTCTACTCGGAATATGTCGCGGCGACATGAGATTAGTGTACTTGATTACAAATCTAGATTTTTTCAAAATCTTTGATACCAACCGGCATAAAGCTACTCCAATTTTTTCATATTAGTTTGAGAGAAAAAAGAAAAAAAACATGTGCTCGGAAATGATTGTTTTGAAATTTAATCTTCTTTAGAGTGTTTTTCGTGCTATGAAATGGAGTAGGTGCTCGAACTATGAATTTAAAACCAGAATAAGGCCTCGATTGTTTGCACTGAATGGAGGTCTGAATCTTAATTATTCAGATCTCAGACATTAAATGCGTTTGTTTTTAAAGTCTGAATCTTAATTATTCAGATCTTAATCATTAAGTATTTTTTTTTTACTTCACAACCACTTAATGGGTCTGAATAGGTCTGTATGATTAAGATCCATAATAGAGACTTAATTTCATTAAGATGTTATCATCCATATTCATTATTAATTGTCGTCGTCGTCTACCATTATTAACTACCACCATGCGACCACCATCATCCTCAATCATAGCCGCCGCCATAATCGATTACCACCACCCACCATCTGCACCACTCCCACCATCATCATTCTCAAACACAAACAACACTCACCAACCTTAACTATCACAACTAACCACCCCATCACCATCAACAATCATAACCGGCATTGCACATCATTATTAACTACCACCACCTTCCTCAATCACAACTACCACCACCACTCGCCATTATTAACTATCACTACTCACCACCACCATCCTCAATCATAATCGCCACCACTACTAATNAAAGATAAATTTTATACATTCGAATGTTAAAAATCAAACAGTCTTAATCATTTAGTTTTCAGATCTTAGTACACATCTTAATATTTAGATGTGTATTCAGATTCAAATACCTTAATCGTAATACACATCTTAATATTCAGATATGTATTCAGATTCAAACGTATTAATCTTAAAAAAATAAATGAGGCCTGAGACTTACAACACTTGTTAGATTCTAAGTAAACACGCTTTGGTTCACGTCAAATAGATGATTTGTTAGAGAAAGTTTAGTTACCAGCTTGCTCGCTATCCCTAATAAGAATACCCGCTAAAAATAACCAATTCATATGCTGCTCTTACTACTAGAAATGCGGCAAAAACCGACCAACCGACTTTGGTCGGTCAAACAATCGGTCAAAAAACCGATCAAAGTTGGTCGATTTTTCAAAATATTTTATTTTTTATTTTTTTTACGAAACCGACCAACTTTGGTCGGTTTTCTTTGGCGCAAAAATGCGGGAAACTATTTTTGAGTCCTGCAAAATTTATTTTTCAAGAAATCGACCAACTTTGGTCGGTTTTTCAATTAAAATAAATAAAAATTAATATTTAAAAAATTAACCAAAGTTGGTCGGTTAATTCGGCCGGTCATTTTAAAAAACCGACCAACTTTGGTCAGTAATTTTATTTTTTAATAAAACCGACCAACTTTGGTCGGTTATTTTCGTGCGAAAATACAATTAAAGAGTATAAATCAAATAAAAGACAGTCTTAAAACAAAATGCACCAATGGTCTAGTGATAGAATAGTATCCTGCTACAGTACAGACCCCGGTTCGATTCCCAGTTGGTGAATCTTTTGATTACATAATTAAAATACCGACCAACTTTGATCTTTTTTTTTTGCAATATTTATTTTTTGAATTTAATTGACCGACCAAAGTTGGTCTGTAATTTCCGACCAACTTTGGTCGGTATGCCTTTCTGACCCCTAAAATACCATCCACACGTAAATGGTCGCGTTTTGGACGGTTATTGGCCATTACCGACCAAAGTTGGTCTGTAATTTCCGACCAACTTTGGTCGGTATGCCTTTCTGACCCCTAAAATACCATCCACACGTAAATGGTCGCGTTTTGGACGGTTATTGGCCATTACCGACCAAAGTTGATCGGTTTTTTTGATCGATTTTTAATGAATTTCTAGTAGTATCTTGTGTTGTTTCTTTGCTGAGAGAACTCCTAAGAAGAAAAAGAACAGAAAAGAAGTAGCACATGGAATAAAAATAGAAGGTAAAAACTTCTATTATAGATATCTATTTCGTATATAAATTATTTCCACTAATGTATGACTAACTAGTTTAATTATATGAAATTCTTGGTTTGGCCGTGATGCTTCTTAAATTTATTTCTTTGAGAGGAAAAAGAGGAAGTTTTGTTTGACACACGAAGTCTGAGTAGTATGTGCATTTTGTTCTCTGTTATTTTAATCATACTATTAAGGTATAGACTCCAACAACCTCAATATGTTGGGATTGAAACGTAGTTTGTTGAAAATTTGGACTCCATAAACCGATGCACAAAAAGGAAGTTCTAGCTAAGCATATTAATACCATTGCGTTATGTGTTTCACGGTGATGATTTTTTACCAAATGGATATGCAGGCTGGATCGAATGTAAGTTCATTTACCGTATCAGTTAACATCTATGGTTTTTAATTTTCGTTGAATTTACAAAGAAAAATATACTAGGTGATAATTTTGAGATTTCAGTGAGAGTGAATTTTGGTGATGACAATACTTTATGAATATATATATTGAAGAGACTTGAAATGTAGAGAGTATCTGGAATAGATTTATCCAGATACATTTTTAATTACAGCTTCTATCCCATAATTGTCTACAAATTCGCTTATTTAAATGATAGAGTGTATATTTTGAGGAGGCACTTATATCTCTCCCAATCATAATTTTCTTTAATAGAAGCATAATTTTCAAAAACTTCATTTCTATGAAGTGTGGCGCAACTAAAGCACAAGCAATGGATGGTGCAAAGCTAGCACACGCCTAGAGTAGAATATTGGTGCTCGAGTCCGGAGTTGAGAATTTGTTTTACGCATTGCTTCTAGCGGGTGGTTTGTACTACGTGCCTAAAATAGAACTTTACTGCTTGCGTCCAAAGTAGAGAATTTGTTCTGTAGTTCTTGAAACTTTTTTTTTGGCATCTCTGCTACCATATATAATTTTTCTTTGCCAGGAGAGAGGTAGAGAAAGCTACTGAATAAACCACTGAAAAACTCCTTTTACCAGTTAGAAAATTTTAACTTCTTGAGTCAGATTTTGTTATAGGAATCAAGCAAAAAGCATAAAGTCATTGCATTTGGCATTCCCTATCACCCGTTCACCAACTTATTAGTTGCTACTTTGCCAACTTCTCTTGGCACGCCCTCAACCTAAAAAAACATGTCGATCTTTTTCCATATTGAGTTTAATACCATCATTATTTGAGCACAAATATTTGCATATGTATAAAATTTTGTGATCTGATATGTGCTTTGCTGGTTGGCCAAAACTAATCCACATATAGTAATTCAGGCTTAATATCATAATTCAGTGGAGAATTACAATCATTTAGCTTTAGTTGGTGCATTTATGTAGAAATGTTTGCTGGCATTTTTAACTTTGCTACTTTGGTTGTTTGTAGCTAAATCCCTTTTGATTCCGGCATTTTTTCTATTTTTCTTTGTTTTCATGACCATTCAGAATTTTAGTTTACTTAATGTATTTGTCCAAATATCTCCAATAGGAGCTTTAACCGTAATTGGTGCAATTTTTGTAAAAATGATGCTACAAATTTCAGCTTTAGTGATTTCTAGCTAAATCCCTCTTAATTCTTGTGCTCATACTCTTCTTCTCTTGGTTTCCTATTGAACCATTTCTATTTTGGAAAGTTTACGTTTGGTTTATTCTTTAGTTGGTTTTTTAAACATTCTTGCATTTAATTTTGTTTATCAATCAGTAGAGAAGTATGTTTTCGGTGCTCCTTTTCTCTCTCTTGAAATCAGGCTATTTCTTCTAAACCCAAAACAACTTTCATCCTTCATGCGTCTCTCTCTTCAACGATCAAGGAGCCGCCGAATCTTTTTCTTGGTAAGATTTTGAAAATTCTACTTGGAATTCTCCATTTTGTTTCCATTTTTCTAATGGTAAATTTCAGTTTCGAGTTTAGGGTTTAAAAATATCCCTTTTAAAATATGTTTGACTTGTGGCTAAAATAAAAGGATGTATTGATAAAAATTATGGGTATGGATGGGATGGGTAAATCCCAATACAAAGAAGAACATTGCCGATAGTTTGACAAAGTGTTACTTTGAGTATTCTTTCTTGGCCTTGGCTTCGTTCTGTTTGGGTTTGTTGGAATTTTGTTTGATGAGGAGTGGTGGAATCTTTGCACATATATGGTCTGTATTGAATTTTTAGGATTCAATTCTTTTCACTAAAGCAAAACTTTGTATGTATATATACACACACAATAATTTTTTAACCAAAGAAATTAGAAAAGATAAGTTTTTAAGTATGAACTTATGGAAATAGCTGTGATGATCTAGTTGTCAATGGTCAAGGTTACTCTTTTAGTTCACATGTAGTTCACATCCTGCAATAGAAGTTCAAGTTTATAGTTCACATCATGTAGTGGAAGTTCAAGTTTATAAAACTGAAGAAAATCCCATTCAAAAAAAAAAGAAAGATAAGAAATAGTTTATGTATGATCATATAAAGCAAAGTCGTAATAGCAGCTAGCAGTACATCTATCTCTTCCTCGAGAGAAAATGTCATTCGTCATGTATACATATCTTTTTTGTAAGATTTATATCTCACTGCTTTATGAATATTTGTATGCTATTACTCTTGAATTATTCGTCATATGTTACATGTTCTATAATTGAACCATGCTTTATTTTGTTTATTCAAGAAAAGCTTCTTTACTTTCTCATTTTTTCCTATTTTGTGTTTAAGATCATATCATTTTCTACATCTTTGTAATCTACATACAAATTATTTACTTAGAAATATACAACTTATCTTTTTGGCTTTTTACCTTTTTTCTTGATTGTCTCTTTTTAAAAAAAATATTAGTCGATGTTTTGTAATCACTATAATCTTATATTTCAGATATGGAATCTAATGAAAATGTAAGAGTGAGTTGGAGAAATACGGATGTGGTAAAAACTTTTTTAGAAACTTGTATTCAAGAAGTATCTTTAAACGGAAGACTTGGAAGTAGTTTGAAGCCGGATTCATGGAACAAGGTTAACTTAGTTCTGGAGAATTCTCATGGTTTTAAAGTTAACCAAAAGCAGATGAAGAATCACTATGATTATCTAAGAGACAAGTATCAAGCTTGGTTGCCGATAACTAAAAAGACTAGTAATATTTATGATCCAACAACTAATACCATTCTAATGTCTAATAGTGAGTGGGATGAGTACATAAAGGTTAGTTCATTATCCAATAATTTTTTCTTTTTTTCTTTGTAGAAAATGGTTTGACGTGTATATTAGAAGTATGATCTTATATATTTGGATATAGGCGCATCCAAAAGCCAAGACATTGAAGAGTTCACCTCTACTCTTCTCGGATCTTTGTACTGCACTTTTCGAGGGTTCTACTGCAACCGACATTCATGGTTGGAGTCCAAGTTGTTCAATTCCCCGACCTGGTGTCTCATCTTTATCTACTAATATAGATATAGATACCCTTGATGATGTTGAAGATCTACATGATGATAAAAATGATGGAACTTCTATTAATTCTTCAGTTTCAACAGAAAGGAAAAATGCGGGAAAGAAAAGAAAAACCACACTGTCTCGAGTAGAAATTGATGATAAGATGAGTACTGCTTTGGAGTTATTGATTAAAAAAAATAGTGCACCTAATGTTGAGGAATGTATGGTAAAATTAGAGGGACTTGGATGGGAAGAACCGTTATACTGTAGATGTTAGTATACTTTGCGAAGGTGATAGCTATAGACACGCATGGATGCAAATGACAAAGGTCGACAAATTGGAGAGTTGGGTCAAAGCTATGGGGAAAAAATGGGAATGCTTTAATTTTGCTAATTAATTAGCTGGAATATGTTTTAGATGTTAATTTTATGCAATATTTTTTTTATTGTTTTTCAACTGGTATCTATTATGAAACTTTGTGATACTATATTATGCTTTGAATAAATTTATTCGTGAAATACACTTTTTCAGTGTTTGTTTATGCTTGATGACTATATAATAAACTTTTATAATGACTTTGTTGTGCTTCTGTAATTTCTTATGCTTATAGTATATATTTCATGTTGTGCTTACTATTGCTTATTATATTTTTCTCTTTGTTAAAACAGATTGGACATGGATATCGACGATCAAATATTGTTGTTGATGTGCTTGTATTGGCATAGAAATAGTTTTAGACTGGATTATGATCAAAGAAATAAAGATCTAACTTCATCTTTATCTGGTCAAAAGTATACGTTAGAACTATTGTCGGGCAATAATCGACAATGTATAGAATTGATGCGCATGTCACGTGATGCATATGTTAGGTTATGTCAACATTTTAGGCACAATGGATGGCTCACAGATAGCAAACATATATCTGTCGAAGAGAAGATAGCAATATTCTTAACAATTATAGGACATAACGAGCGTTTTGTGGTAATTAAGAGAAGATTTCAACATTCTTTCGCAAACAGTGCATAAGTACTTTCATGAAGTTCTGGACGCAATGATGAAATTTGCAAATGAGATGATAGCACCTACAACATTTGATACAAATCTGAATATTCCTTGTGCTAATAACAAGTTACGAAGAATATTTAAGGTATTATTTATTATACTACTATCTTAATAGAATTTCACAAGAAATATTTTCTTTTTACTTTTAACTTAAATTTATAGAATTTCACAAGAAATATTTTTTTCTTTACTTTTAGCTTAAATTTATATATTGGCAGGGAGCAATAGGTGCACTAGATGGGACATTAATACATGATGTTGTTCCGGCTAATCAACAGATTATGTACAGAGGAAGAGGAAATGGTAAATGTTATCAGAATGTTCTGGCAATATGTGACCTCAATATGGTCTTTACTTATGTTTATGCTGGATGGGAAAGGGTAGCACATGATGCACGTGTTCTAACGAAAATTGTATCTAACCCAGAAAATGGCTTTCCATTCCCCCCAGCTAGTAAGTGATACAACTTAAACAACTGAAATAATATTTTAGCTTTTCAATATGATCACGTAACTCTTTTTTCTTAATGTCAGACAAATACTATCTATGTGATGCGGCATATCCTAACACTCGAGGATTTCTAGCACCATATCGTAATATTCGATATTGGTTAGGAGATTATCATCGCAGGCGTGCTATAACTAAGGAGGAAAAATTTAATCATGCGCATGCACAACTTAGAAATGTCATCGAGCGTGCTTATGGAGTATTGAAAGCAAGATTCCCGATATTGGACAAGATACCTCCATATCCTATTGATATCCAAAGAGATGTTGTTATTGCATGTTTTGCGGTTAATAATTTTATCAGAAAGGAGCTCATCAATGATGATTTGTTTAATCAGTTTGATTTGTCTCAAGTAATATTTGACGAAGAACATCAACATGAAGAAGTATTGGGCGAAACTGATGGACCTAGCTGGACAGTTGAAGATTCTCAGATGATGAATGATATGCGCGAGCAACTCGCACTCAAACTAGTACAAAGAAGAGAAAATACTTGAGAGTTTTTTTATTTTAGTCATTTAAATTATTTTTTCCGGTGTTTGAATGTTAAAACTTGATCTGATTATCAATTAGATCTTCAAATATTCTAATATTTGTGCATCTAAATTATAACTAGTTTTGAGTTTATTGTTTTAATTTGTAGGATAAGTTTGATTAGAAGATAAATTTACGTTCAATATTTTTGTTTTGGTTACATTTCGTTACTACAATTGTTATTATTGATATATAATTTTCATTTATAGTTCAAATAGTTTAACAATTGGATCAAACATAAAATATTGATTTATATCTTATAATATTTTAATTTATCTCAAATAATAACTTTTTTGTTCAAGTTAATATTTTCACTAATTGATATAGTATTTAATCACTTTTTTTTAAATGTATATTTTTTATGTTGAAATATAAATATATTATACGTATTCAGATGTTGAAAAACAAACAGTCTTAATCATTTTGTGTTCAGATCTACATACCACATCTTAATATTCAAACGTGCATTCAGATTCAGACGTCTTAATCTTAAAAATAAACAAATGAGGCCTTAATGTCTTAAAAATATTATAGAAATATATTATCTAAAGAAGATTTTAACATAGCTTCAAAGAATAAAGCAAGTATAACTTAATATAACGAGGTTCCACAAATGTCAAGCTAGCAAAAAAGATGGCATTTCTCCTTATGACCTGCCCGATCTCCATACATGCATGTCGAGCAAATTTTATCGCTGGAACATGTGTGTTGTTGTCTTCTTGGATGAAATTTACTATACAAATTATTCTAACATCCTGTATTGGTTGCTCTTTTTGAATGCAGTTACGTTCACTTTTGCGCCTGCTTTCTAGATGCTCCTATACTCAGAAAATGTCGCGGCGACACGAGGTTAGTGTACTTGATTACAAATCTAGACTCCAATTGCTTTTTTTAAACTTAACTAAATATTTATTTTGCTACATTTTCTGTGATAGTGAAATACTGAAAGTATTACTAAAATATTGAGATATAAAACTATACTATAAATGTGGAATATATAATAGTAATTAATAAGAGGTTTGGTTGGTAGTAATACATTTTATGCAAAGAAAGACTGTGATAACTAGTTCTCAGCAAGTTCCCTGCTTGAATAATAGCCAACTATATAATTGATCTTCTTGGTTAAACATCTTGTTTCGCATACTATAATAACAACTCCTATACGGTGTTTCTTGTGCTCTTTAATTTTTTGGTTGTATTTCTATTTGAATTCTCTGTTCATGTAAAGAGTCTTACACAAATAAAATATTCAGATTAACTCGCTATGAATAATCCATGAAATTGTCCTTTATTTAATTTCAATAATTAATAATCTTTTTAGTTTGCGTAAAAATATGTCAAAGGAGTCATAAAATTGGAGAGGACAAACTTGTTTACCCGAAAAACGGATAGAGTTGAATTTGTACGTAGTTCTAAGGGTATGTGGTATAACTTGACACAAATCGTAAGAGTAAATAGAAATATCAAATATAAATTGTAAAGAATGAAAAATAAGCAAAGTTGGAAAGAAGATGATTTATGGATTAAGCAAGATGAATCAATCTATGAAGCTAAAAAAGGATAACTATTCAATATAGGAGTGTATGATATCTCAGTTACAATGTATGCCTCACCTCCTATTTTACAGAAATATAGCCATCCCATTTATAGTGGGGGGATCCTACTTTAGATATAATTAAAAATATATAGTGGGGAACCCATGATAAATCAGTTTTTCCCTAATTCTCGCCGAGATTCTCTCCCTTAGTGCGACTGCAACGACTCTTGTCTATGAGCTTGATCTTGATCGGACTCAGTATTGGTCGGTTTTTAGTTTTAGAGCTCGATGCGGGTTTGAGCTTGACGCCGACTCGGGATCTGGTAACGACTTGGGCTCGGTATTGGTTGGCCTCTGGCCCTTAATCTCGATTCCATCATATCTCATCATAGTTCGATTCGGACCCGAGCTCGATAATGACTTCGAGCTCAGTATTTGACCTGTCCCTGAAACTTGAAGCTCGTTTGTGCCTTCTTCGGATCCCATCTCGATATTATGAAGACTTTCTTCGGTCCATTATGTTCCCATCTCGATCAGACGTACGAAGGCCGAAATCAGTTTCAACCGTACACAGATAGTCCCCTCGTTTCTCGGGAAGGATGTGGCGAGAAACGATATGATTTCCCAACGGCTCGATCAGATATAAGCTGACGTTTACATCGAGCTCGATCATGACGCATGAGATAGTTGTCCCATCGGTTTAGTTTCCCAAAGCATTTAATGCGTGTCAGACGATGGTCGGCCACCGTTGATACTGAACCGACGTTGCTTAATCTATAAATAGCCCCTTTCTTTACCATTTACCACTTTTGCTTCTCCAATCTCCAAATTTTGATAAAGTTCTTTCTTGCATCTTCTGAGTTTATCTGTAAATCTGTGATTTTTCACTGTAAAATCTCTCTTCAAAAACACCAAATCTATGTTACCTCCTTTTATTTTCGATCTTTAAATCCAAAAATGGCGAAAACATCAAAAATCATTCCTCAGAAAGAAAAAGCTTCTTCTTCACAGCCTGCCGCCGACAAAACACCGGTGGAGCCACGACCTGAGGAGTGCGTTCCTGGGGCATGTGTTCTTACCTTTGATTTTAAGGTCGACAAAGGCTCGTCGGTTCCCGGCCGATGTGAACCTGTATCGAGGTATGTGTGTTTGATAACCGAGGGGCACCTCGAATAGCTAAAGAAAGATTCATATTGGGAGAACAAAGAAATAGTAATCCCGTATTCTGAAGAAGATATCACCACTTACGTGAAAGGGTTTTTAAGTGTGTATACTTACCCTTTCACGTTAGGTCCCCTTGACCCTGTTATTATTGATTTCTGCCGTCAATACCAAATAACCCTAGGTCAGATCAATCCTTCTTTTTGGCGGATCGTTATTTTGATCTGTTACTTCGTGAACAAAATCGAGGGGATGCCTTTCACCCTCGACCATCTCATTTGATTGTACTGCCCTCGCCTTTTTCGAGGAGAGTTAATAAAACTTCAGCGTCGGGCTACCAAGGTTCTGTTCTCGAGCATAGACGAGGACAGGGATCGAGGCTGGATGGGCAGGTTCATTCGAGTGAAGACTTCAGACTTGATTCTGACTAAAAAGATGCCATTTTCCGAGGAGTGGAACATGAAGCGTAAGTGTAATTCTATTGTTATCTCCTACTATTTTTCCCCTTCATTTCTTTTCTCATCGATATCCCCTTTTTGTAATGCAGCGGTTCCTTGGATGCCCGGTGCAGTTTCCGGCCTCAAGAACTGGGTACGGGATCTAGCTTCGACCTCCACATATGCCGAGCGCTCATGGCGTGATTTGTCAAAGGGTCGATGGGAGGCCAAAAATCATGGTAAGCCTCTTTCTCGTATTTTTGGTAGTTCGAACGAAATGCTTTCCATATACTTAAATCAATTTTCTTGTATGTAGGTGTGGGCAAAGATGCAGTTTTGAGGCCCCCGCCCGTCAAGGAAGAGGCTTCGACCTCTGTTCCAAAACCGGTGAAGGATAATAAGAGAAAAAGGGCCTCTGCTTCCGAAGATCCAAAATCGAATACGAGGACAGCTTGTAAGCCGAGGAAAAATACCATCCCTTTAACCAT